CGCCCCCTTCCCCTGGCCCCCCCCCCCCGCCCCTGCTGCCACCACAAGTGCCCAGCAGCAGCTGAGTACACAGCTTACCCCACACCAGTCCATGCTCGACTTGCCCTGCCTGGGGTGGACCAGCATTGGACCAGCCAGAACCCATGGATACAGCCTCGAACTTGGCCCTGGCCTGCCCCATGCCTGCTCTGGGCTGGTTCCCCTCTTCCCCCCCCCCGCCCCCCCCCCATATGTATACAACACCATATGTTTTCTATGTATACAACACTCAAATAATATAGGCCTTTTTCTCATTCAGTGTGTTCCACCCATCTCCTGTCTATACTTAATTACTTATTTCTAAGTATACAGTGAGTCTTTGTTACAGTTTAGTTGTGGCCTAGCAATGTGGGGTTTGGTACATGACGGGGGCTTCTGGGTGCTACTGCGATTTAAATAATGTTTCACAGTATTATTCTAAAATGATGAAAATAAATAATCACAGCTTGGGTGGATCCAAGGGGTTGCAATGGTGCAGATGCACTGCAGATGACTGCAGTACAGAAGAAGGACCTGGGGACATTTTTTTAAGTCCCCAAAGCAAATAAGAATTCCTCCCTCCCCTTCCTCTCTATGCTTAGCAGCATGGCCTCCCCTGCTCCCCTACCCACTGCTGTCACTGCCTCTGGCAGCCCTGGGGGAAGGGACAGGGGCTGAAAGGAGAGGGAGCTTCAGAGCCACTCCATCTGGGCTCTGCTTGGAGCTGGGCTTATCTAGGGATCCCGGCAACAGCAGCAGGTGGGTCCCTCCTCCCCTTCTCCCTGCCTGGTTTCTTTCTCTCTTACTTCCTTCCCCCCTCTTCCCTCCTCCCCACAATCCCTCTGTTCCTTACCAGACTAGGAGCAGGTGTAGAGGATGGGAGCCCATTTGCTGCTGCTACTGTCTCTAGCCAAGCATGGTTCCATGTGCAACCTGGATGCAGCAGGGCAGGAGTGGCTCTGGAGTACCCCTGACCCTGCTTCAGCTGGGGACAGCAGCATAAGTGGGCAATGGAATGGAAGGAATGAGCCACTGATCATGGAGGCAGGAGGAGGACGGAGGGAAGATTCTTACCTGCTTGAGAGACTTTAAACATACCTGGCTGCTGCTTCCACAGCCATAGTCTGTCCACACTGGTGTGTGGGGTGGAGGGAGGCTGGGAGCGAGCATACAGCCACCCCTGCAGCACAAATTGCTGCTCTGCACCCCGCTTTCTGAAATCCTACATCCACCCATGATTGCAGCTATATTCACCTCCATAAAGAACACAAAGGGTAACTTATTAAAACCAGACTTATAGCCGAACTCTACATTATTCTTTCACTCCCCACCCAGCATTGGCACTTTCATACTAGGCCACGTTAAATGGAGGCTTTGGAGAGAGCCAGTTAGTGCCCAGACGGAAGAAATAAAAGCGGCCAAGATTGTGATTTGTATTATAACTATGTACAGCCTCCTTGAACAAAGCCAGGGCCAGAGCTGTCTATTACAACAGTGTATATCTTTGATTTCAACATTTACTATGAATTTATGCTGAGGTAACTGATAGTTTGGGCTTACCCAAGTGTAACTGAGGCCCTGAGTACCTTTATTTGAAACTTTTAATTGTTTCAAATAAGTAACACCTGAAAAGTGTTTCTGGCCTTGCAGTTTTTACAAGCAGAGTTCCAGTTCTGTCAGTCTAAAGAATGGCAGATATGAGGATATTGCAATGTCCTAATCATTGGTTAATCTTGCTATGAATAGAGCAAAGCCAGGCACATTTAAGTGGTCAGCAAGTTTTATTGTG